CTACAGCCTGGCACGATGCAGCTTAGACACAAAGCCACGCTCTCCCTCTCTTATCCACATGGCCAGCCTACCAGACAAAGTAGTGATTCCAATCCAACTGCTGCTCCACAGGCTGGCCTATAGGTAAGTTTATGGGGCGTTTTCTTGATTACGGATGAATGTGGTGTGGGAGCGCCCAGTCCTGTGAGCGGTGTCGTTCCTGATCCTAGGAGGGATGAGGGAGGCAGCTGCAGTATGCAGTCCTTCTTCAAGACTCTGTTTCAGTTTCTGGCCCCCGCTTCTTGCCTTGCCTTTCCTCACTGATGGACTGTAAAGCACACGCTGAAATACACCCTTCTCTGGCAAACTGCTTGTGGTCCTGGTGTTCACCACAGCAATGGAAAACACACCAGGACACAGTTCCTTGAGACACTCTGGTGTTTTTCCTCACATGACTACTGGATTAAGGAACAGCTTTGTTTCGTTAGTTTCTTTTTGCCAAGTAGAGAAGGTGGGCTTGTACTTTGCATATTATGAGCATCCTCTATGGACTAAGTAAGGGGCAGATGGGGGGGTGGGGCACAGCTGAAAGTGCGGTGGTACCCGACCCTGCCAAGTCTCTCAACAGAAAACTATTCCCACAGAACCAACGAATGCAGCGAGTTGGGGACTATTTATAGAGGAGCCACAAATAAATGCAGCACCTCACTTTAGGTTATTTGACAAAATAATAGTAACAACAACAACAATAATCAGTCTCCCATAAATTGAGCACCAAGGAGAGAGCAGAGATACTTTATGATCAGGGAACAAGATTCAGACTCAGTCAGTGTTCTGAAGCTTGAAAAAAAAGAGTTTTTTACTCCACCCCCCACACACACACATACTGGGGGGGGGGGGACAGGCTTTAGGTGATCTATGAACTCAAATTCCTTAGACTTAATGACCTGAAGTTTTTATTTCTGGGTGGGAGCCGGACAGTTGGAAATGGAAAGTGGCTAAAAAAACAAAGGCCTTCTAAGGCCTCACTGGAGGAAGGCCACTGGAGGCTTTGTGTTCTTGCTAAGCGACAGTTTCAAGCAAATGGCATCTGCACTTGAACAAGGTCTCACGGTGAGGAGCATCATCACTGGGTGACGTGACCGGCTCTACCTCACTGAGATCCGTCAACCCAGCCAGGAACACCAAGTTAAGCTAGATTCCTTTCATCTTCTCACCATGTTTCTCACAGAAAACCTCTTGCAGAGAAATAGTTGCTGAGTTGGTCCTATCACAAACGCCCTGAATTTAGGGTGTTTGACCTCTGTATAAAAAGTGATCATTTTGTGCACGGGTCTGCCCAGTACTGAACATCGGGACAGAAACTCTAAAGCTATGGTCTGTCAACATTTCCACTACAAACCTTTCTTTCCAGAGCTTACAATCCAGCACTAAACAGTCAGGGGTAACACCTGGGGAAAACGGTGTCACTCTGAAAAACACTTGTTTTATTTAATTAAAAGAATGTTCTGCTCTCTTCAAGTCTAAACACAAGATCTTAATAAATGACGACCTTAAAATACCCAGTTAAGACTAAGCTTTCTTGTAAACTACAAATAGAATGTCTAAACCTTGCCTTCCTAACTTGTCCTGAGGTAACAAACACTTGTCATCCTAAACTTCCTGAAGTCGCCCCTTCCACATCCATTCATCCAATCCCAGTGCCTTGGCATCTTCAGCAGATCTTGAATCAGCTTCTTTCGTCTCAACAACCACCTGGCTAAACAATGTCATACATGATCCAGACTATTATCATGAGACTCCTGCTATCTGCTCCGCAAACCAGCACACGCACACTTCCTGCAGGGAGCTGCAGTGATCGTCCCAAGACACAAATATTGCCAAGCCTTCCCCTACTTAATCCTTCAGTGGCTTCCCACAGTTAAGATGTAAACTCTTCTCATGGTCCCCAAGATCCAGCCCTTTGCAGCATCACTCTGTCTAGTCTCCCTCCCCATGGTTCCTCTGTACTGATCTTCCAGTTTCTCACGGTATCCTCGCTACTTCGTTTCTCAGAAACTTTGCACACGCGGCTCCTCTTGCCCCACCCCCAATTCATCAACTTCTCTTGGTCAAATTTTTAGAATTCAGCTCAGAAGGCAGTTATTAAATAAGACTTGCATGCTCAAATTTCTCCGTTTTCTTGTCTCCTACAGTTTTCCTTTGTACACACGTGTATTCATTGGGTTTCTTTCAGACAACAGTTGTCAGTGAAAATAATCATATGATAGAGTTGTGGATATAACTCAGTTGACAAAAATGTATGCCTGCCACGCACAAAGATTTCCGGGCACACCACAAACCCAGCATCTTGATACCTGACTGTAATCCCAACCCTTAGGAGGTAGAGGCAGAAAGATAAAGAGCTCAAGGTCATACAGAGTTCAAGGCCAGCCTGAGCTATAAGAGAGTCTGCCTCCAAAAATAAAACAAATCAGATTAAAATGCTTACTTGGGTCATTTTACATATCATTCGCCCTAGAAAAGCAGCAAGAGCCTCAGAAAGAGAGAGTTTTGTCTTCACTTGTTCCTCAAAATGAACACAAAGGAATCTTCAAAGGGCTCTTTAGTTCCAGCAACACCAACAATACAAGACAGAAGTGGCCCTGGCTGGACTGAGCCCAGCACAATTGGTGGCAGCAGAGCCAGAACTTTCTCTGGGTAAGGTAGGTCATTCTGGTCAACTCAGGCCTTCTGGAGGGACCAAAGAGGCCAGGTGCAGACCCACATCCAAGAGGAGCAGGTTCTCAATGGATGGAAGGACCTGCAGGCACACTGTAAAAGTACCAGAAGGCAGAGGGAAAACCTAGGAGTTCCCATCTGAGTCTTCCCTAGCTGGACCTCGCCCAACACTGATTCTCAAGAACCCCTAGGTTGATTTTATTGTAGAGAAGTAACAGTCCCTGATTTACACGCTTATGACATTGACACCCTAAACTGCACAGGCTACTATTTGCTGGTAAGTCATCGTCTCCTGACACACAGCGTCCTTTTTCATACGGTGCTGGTAAATCTTGAAAAAAAAATCTTAAGTTTGTCTTTGGCAAATTACAGAAATGATAAGTTATACTAGATCCACAGACAAACTTATCAAATACAGTGGGCAAAAACATGAAGCTACGCTTACCTCACAGCCAGGTGGGCACAGTTTATTCCATATCAACACTAATAAGCTATCTAGACAGGTGCTATGATATGTCTCCACTTCTTTTCCCAACTTCTTGAGACTAGAGTCTCATGTAGCCCTAGCTGGTCTTGAACTTGATACAAAGCCAAGAGTGACCTCCTTCAGCTTCCCAAATGCTGGGATTATAGGTAGGCTTCACCTTGCTTGGGCCCAAGCTTGGCTTTAAAAGGATCAGAGCTACAGGACATTTTGAACATAACTAGCTTTGGCAGGTTTTCCTTTTTTCTTTTCAGAAAAATAGGGGTTAGGATTTCCAGCAGTATATACAGCGCTCTTTTATAAAACGGTATTTGATGATTTGAGAAAAAATAAATTTCAATATTCATCTCATTGAATCACTTTGAGAGCAACCATGATTTAAAAAAAAATCAACCATCGCTGCAAACACACTGAAAAGGAAAATTTATTGTTTTATCAACTTAGGTGACTTAGGTGGGGCTCCACTTCAGAGGAAAATTTTATTGTTTTATCAATTTAGGTGACTTAGGTGGGGCTCCACCTCAGTGAAGTCAGTCTCAAGTACAGCAACTTACAGACTTAAGCCACAACTGATAAGGGGACCTCCTCCTGGGAGTCTTCTTGGACGGTCGTCACAAGCTTTTACACTCAACTTCCTGACGCTAACTTTCCAAAAGTAAAGTTAATCAAACACACCGTGTAGATGCAACGCTCATTTTGCTAAAGGCACCTGACTAGACTCCTCCCACCACTGCTCTGCTTCTGTGTCCCGGAACCCTTAGCTGTCTTCCACTCCCTTCTGCGTCTGACCTGGACTCAGGCAGTGGGCATCGAGGGCGGGGCGGGGGGGCGGTGGTGATGAGGAACTCGAGGGGGCTGTAACGGTTCATTCTGCTAAGGGTGGGGGTGGGTCAGCCTGGGGAGGTGGGAGCAGTGCAGTTCGCGCCGCCAACTGCTGGGTGAGCGTAGCGCAGTGGCCGGATCCCGGTAACTAAAGTTCGGAGCAGCTTGACTAAACCCTCAAAGCCCAGCACTGTCAAGGCTAACACCAGCGCCGAGGGCGGCAGACGGATGCGTCCCAGCGGAGCGCGCCTCTCGGCGTCAGGCTGATGGAGGGGGCAGCGAGGGGCGGCCGGCAGCCGGCACAAGTTAGGTCCTTGGCCGGAGCAGCCCAGCCAGGGCCCGAGGGAGAGGAGCCCGCTCGGGATCCGCAGGACAACCCGAGAGCTCCGCGAGCGGAGCGGGGGTTCCCCAGCGCCCGAGTGCGGGGACGCCGATCGGGGTGGGGACCCGTGTCTTCCCCTGTCCGGGAATCGAAGGGACAGCGGGTGCCGGGCGAGGCCTCAGCGGCAAGTCGCACCCGGCTCCCGGCCACGGGAGTTGCGGGGAGGCGGCGCCGTGGGCTGGAGCCCGACGCGGACAAGCTGGGGG